ATGCATAAACAATTGATGCACCTCCAGATATAACAAACTCTAGCCAATATCGAATTGCTAATAGCGAGTACAAGCGTTAACGCTCGACGGTCGATGTGGACAAATACTACCCGAGTAGAGACTAGATTTTTTTCCATCGAGCATTCTTTGCACGAGCTAGCAAAGTCGCTCGGACTTTCGCTAGCGCATGCCCCTTACCCCGTGATCCTCCAGTAACCATGCGTTTGCTTGCTTCGCGTCAGAGATACCAGATCATGAGCCTCTGTCGCCAGGGTCTGAGTTTTCGACCGATCACACGAACGCTAGGAATAGGGCAGAGAATCGACCAAAAAAACACTCTGAAGGCTAGTCGCAACAGTGGTTGTCTAGCAGCTAGGCCAAATGTCCACTCTTCAGGTCAACCGGGACTGCTCTCAGCGTGATACATGTGCACTTTCATGCACACCATCATGTTAGGTGCCACGTTGACGAGCATTGAGGCTGCATAACCACTGGAATCGAATCACGTTGTTAAGGTCCACCCTCACACTGTACGAAATGCCCTCTAGGTGACTGGGTTAGTCGCTGTACAATTATTGCGTAAGCCTCAACTATTAGCGCGCAACATGTGCGACTATACGGAATTTCGCCAGAGCCCACCTAGACTAGACTCTGGACGACTGGAAGCGGGTGATCTGGTCGAACGAGACTCAGATCACTCGATATTGCTCAGATAGCCACACCCACGCATGGATTCATGAAGGCGCTGCTCTCCAGGGGCATCAGCTGAAGTAGATTGTAAAGCATGGGGGTGGGCCAATCATGGTTTGAGTTTGTATAATGTCTGATGTGCCTGGTTACATGTGCAAGATTGATGGCCGCACAGATGGCCAACTCTATCACAGCATATTACAGGACGAGGTGGCTCAAGCTCTTGATTTCTATGATTTGACCGTCTCTGGCATGACGTTCCAGTACACTGTATGACCCCAAACCCAAGTGCAGGATCGTTTAGGAGTGGCTAGCTGAGCAAGATTTCGCGGTCCTACAATGAACCTATTCCTCCATCGACCCCAATCACATCAAGTAGCTCGCCAAGCATGAGCAACCCCACACAGTCATGCTGCAAAATTGGGAGCAGGTGCACGAGGCATGGGACAGCATTAGGGCTGGCATATGCAAGGCTCTGATAGACTGTGTGCCTAGGAGGATCAGAGCAGGAAGTAGGGCTAAGGGGAGAGGGACCCGGTATCGATGTCGATAATTTCAACTGTCGCTCATCCCGGGAACATTCTGTCCGAGTGTACCACTTGTGATCATCGTTGTGCTATGTTCTGTTCTGGTGTGTTTTTTTTACAAGATGTCATTTGTCACACAAGCCTACAACAGTGGCAAATAGAACCTTAAAACCAGGAAATATAAAACCTGATCATTTTCTCGTGGGCCCTGATTTTGTCCAGTTAATGGCCAACATGTGGACAGATTGTTCCGTTACTGTATCTAGATTAACTGTTGCGTGCACTGAGTGTTCGCCGTATTTTGACGAATCCTCTAGTGCTTCTAGAACAGTTGCTTCTAGAGGGAGATTGTTCCTTTGAGGAAATTCACATTTTAGCTAGGCTCGTGCCTCGCTCGAAGGACCTCGCAAGTGCTCGCCTATAATTTGTGTTGTTCCTCGGGATTGTCTTTGAGTATTGATTCTATTATTTACATTCTCTCTCGCACTATGGATGGCTCATTCGATCCTATGTCAGCGACAATTAGGATGCGATTTGAATTGCAAACAAGCCCGATTTATAATGAGTTTTTGTGAAGATGAGATGTGGATTCAGAATATACACTTCTTCTACTATATATGCATCTTGTGTTTATCATTGTATCTTCTTGTTCAATATATTATTCCTATGGTCAAGGATCACTAATTCATCTGCTAACATAATCTTTCCTGGCTCCACACAATCCAACTCCTGGGTAAATCCATATTGCGGGTATGTTACTTCTACAGGGAGAAGAATGAGTTCTCGCTCTGCGGCGCTGCATAAAATAACCACATGAATATTCGTTTGCATGGCTCGGCTGCCCCTCCAGCCTAGGCAACATATTTGTCTCCACGCCGCGCACGGGCATGATTGATTGACCTCGCCATCATCAAGGAATTTTGCCTCGCTGTTAGGGATTTTCATGGAAATTACGGCCTCTTAGGTGTCTAGTGTAGGGAAATCTTCGCACCTCCATGAAATCCTAGAGCCCGATAGCTTGTGATATTTATTCACCTCGACAGGTTTCAGGCACTTGAATGGGTCCAGTGATTTCATCAGGCGAGAAAAAATACTTTCCTGAAAAATCAGGTTGCTGGAAATGATGATGAAGAGACTTAAGCATTTTAGGAGTTTCACGACTTATACAAGACATGAGTAAAGCAACATCAAGGACAGACGAGTCAACCATGCTACAATTCTCTCAACGGTAGAAATAGTCTGACGACACACGACGGAGGTTGCGAAGGGCAATCGTCGTTGACCGTTGACCTTGCAACCCAGCAGTCAGAAGTGCAAGGGCAAAAATATCTGCACGACAGCAAGAACACGTAACCGTCGTGTTATTACAGCATAGATGGTTACCCTAATCATGCTTATCGAGTCATAAAGGGAATGTACCCCTATGAAGTGCATAGTTATTTAGGCTCTTCTTGAAAACCCTATAAGCCCTTGCATCTCCTTGTTATAATCAATCAATTGTTCTCACACACCAGTATAACGGTTCAACTCAGACTTTTGCTATGCTATCAAGAACTCTACCTACAAAGGAATTCGTATCTGCCAAAGATTCCTACGCTGTTCTCAGCCCAAGATGATATGGGAGCTAGTCGGATACAAAGTTCCTGCTACAAACTCCTTTGTTGAGTTTCTAACACTACCATCCGACACTTGCTCGTGAACCTCTTTATATTCTCAAGAAGTACAAGACAACAACATGGCAGCAACTAAGGACGTGGGATCCTCCTCTAGATCCCCCGACATTGAAGCATCTGTGCCACCAATCTCTAAGCTGCAGACAGAGGCAGTTGCAACTGAAGGCGCAACAGAAAGGGCATCCACAAGTCAGGTGTCCCCCCCCCTCGGGCATTGGCCCGAGCTTCGCGGAGAAGCTCTACTCCTTCATGTCACTCTACGAGCACCCTTTGGCACATGCTCAGTCAGCAAACAACAACAAGTATGGGGTCAACACCGGCGTAGCACCCATGAGCCTCGAAGTATCATCATTCGCAAGAGGCAACGAGCAACCTATTCAACACCCACCTCAACAGTCGTCGCTAGGCTACTTCAGCTTCCTGCTAATTCGAGATCCCGAGGCACCATCTGCACCAAGCAACAGACCAAATGAAGTTCTTCAAATGCAAGCGCAGTTCGTCAACATTCTATAACTACAGGCATCATTCCTCTTCAACAGAAAGGAACTCTATACCTGGAGCTTCGAGTTTGAGCTCATGGTGAAAGGCGTCCAGATCTTGGACGTCTCCATGGGAACCTAGAAGTATCGAGAAAACGATATTACGAAAGAGAAACAGGTGTGCATAAATCAATCTCTGATGTCATACACGATCCTTCTTCGAAACATGTCACTAACAAGGCAGTAGAATATGAAGACACACAGAGGCTCTGGCAATTTAGCTGAGCTGACTGACTGCCACCTTGAGAGTGTTTACCAGGCATCGAATAGTGTGTCGCAGAGTCGAGTTATGGCACAGCTGACAACAATTCAAATGCAACTAGTGGAAACAAAAAAAAGGCATACATGAATCGTTGCAGATGAATATGCGACAGACTTATCCAAAGCGGAGGGAACTTATCAGAGGATTCGTTCATGGTAGTGGTCCTCGCTGGCATCAGCCAACGATGGCGCACAACTCGCTCGCTTCTTCGAGCCCACGGAAGGATCTAAGAGTTTCACCTTTGCACTGAACTTCTTGCGGAGCAGTAGAACATGGGCCTGTACAAAGAACGACAAGCAAGAAAGCCGAGTCAGCGGATTGCATTTTACACGCATGGACATCAACATGGTCACAATAAAAAACGTGTCATGCCTCCATGCTATTACCTATGTTGAACGTCAAGACATTCAAGAGTCGCGAATTCGTGATAACCGTGGCCAACAACCAGAACCTGCGTACCAGAAAACAAGGTGTGGTTCAGGTGTAGTCACTATAAACAAGCGTCGTGCTACAAATTTTGCAGGTGCTGGTGGTCGACAACCTCAGATACAACCTACTCGGTGTCAGTCAATTGATGACGAAGGGTATTCACTTGGAGTGAAACAGCGACGAAGGCAATCCTGAAGTCTGGTGTCTTCATCTTGGACTTCGTTCCTTATCATGGCCCAGCGGACAGTGACGCCATCATCTCGTTCACCACTTGGACTCACCTGCCAACCTCGATCCCGGCTTCAACAGAGATGGCTTTTGATACTCTTACGTGATACTTGAAGCAAAAAGCATAAGGGAATTAGCTGTCATGGAAGCAACCCAAGACATGTGGCTAACCCTTCAAACCGGTGGCCACCGGTTAAAGAGGCGCCCGTTGAAGAGCCACCTCCAACCGAAGCAGAGCAGCTGAAGGCGTAGACACGCAAAATCCACAGAAGTGCCGCAAGGTTCCCCACGTTTTACGCCAACGCTGACCTGTACCAGAGTTCTGTTGGACAGAAGGCAGGCGAAGACATATGGCATCAGCAACTTGGACATCCAAGAAATTCAAGATTATACAATACGATACTGGCAGGAGTGCTCGACAAAGACACCTTACCTGACAGAAGAGAACTACGCAAGCTGACGGTAACGAGCTCCATCTGCCTTAGAAGCAGACTTACAGCATCATCAACCCTTCCCGTCACATCAATACCCCAGCGCCTCGGCCTACGCCTCACTTGAAAAGGTGTACATCAACTTTTTTTACATCCCTCGTTTCGATTTAAACTTCATTATCACCTTTATCGAGCAACCCGTTGGGTGTGGCACTTAAACCGACAGTCACATGACCTTGCTTATGCGCCTTTCGTGGCGTGGCATTCTAGAGAGAGAGAGAGAGAGAGAGAGAGAGAGAGAGAGAGAGAGAGAGAGAGAGAGAGAGAGAGAGAGAGAGAGAGAGAGAGAGAGTAAGAAAGAGAGAGAGAGAGAGAGTGAGAGAGAGAGAGAGAGAGGGAGAGAGAGAGAGAGAAAGAGAGAGAGAGAGAGAGAGAGAGAGAGAGAGAGAGAGAGAGAGAGAGAGAGAGAGAGAGAGAGATGTGAAATTGAAAAGTTTCCAGTCAAACAAAGCTCTGGAATACCAATCACAACAATTTGAGGGGTTTTTAGTGGAGAGGGGAATCAAGGGACCCGTCTCTCTTCCTTACGCCCATCAACAGCAAGGAGTGGGAGAAAGGATGAACAGGACGCTGCATAACACTATGTGCAAGCTGGTACATGACATGCGCATGCCCAACTCGATATGGCCAAATGCAATGGATCATGCTGTGCTGCTGCACAATCTATTGTCATCTAGCTCGCTGCCAAACAACAATGCATCACCACACCTACCATGGACATGGAAGGTGGGTAACCCAAAAAAAAAAAAAAAAAAAAAAAAAAAAAAAAAACAGTTTTTTACCGACCACAGATAGCACGCACCGGAGGTTTTTACAGCAGTAGCAGCACGTAACGTGATCTTCTACGAAAGCATTACCTGGACAACATCGCCAACGCACCCGACTCAACATGTGGATTCAACGGCGCATTTGCCTCATCAACAGATGAAGCTGACTAGGATGAGCAGAATATTCTGGATGCTTCGGCAGCAGTTTTACCACTGGTAACTGCTCGGCCGACATCCCGATGGATGACGAAGACCCTCGCGAAATTGCGAACGCAGAAGCGTATTACCACTTTGCTGACAATGGTTATGTTACCCCACGGAGTGTCGATACCAACATCTCTGAACGTAATGGACCTGCTTTCGTACCTGATCCAGAAGCAAAAAACGAAGCAGCTTATCTCGAGGATCTAAGCCTTCCCCACTTCACCGAGCGTGGACTCCAGATTCTCAACCTAGTAGCTGTAGTTCATCTGCCGTCATAGCCGCCGCAAATTGAGGAAGCAACCACGGTCAAGAAAGCTTTGAAGGGGAAACACAGGGAGAAATGGAGAGAAGCAATGGACCGGGAGCTGAAGGCCCTGCGTGAACGAAATACTTCGAAGCTGATACCCATCACTCAGACCAAGGGCAAGACCATTCTCTTAGAACAGTGGGTCTTCTGGGTCAAGACGGAGCAGATGGAATATTCGACCACTTCAAAGCACACTGGGTGGTGAGGGGTTTAATTAGTAGCACGGATGAGACTACACCAAAACCTTTGCTCCAGTAAACCGCCGCAACGCAATTGCCGCCGCTTGGAAATTTTCACTACAACAAATCGACGTTGCCACTGCCTTCATCTACGCTCCTGTCGATGTTGGCATGTATGTGGAGCAGCCACATGCTTTCGTCGACGACTCTATCGTCATCTGCCAGTTGAACAAGTTCTTCTACGTGATCAAGAAAGCCCCTGGAATCTGGGAGCAGTATCCCCACGCCAGCCTAACCAGCGTCGGATTCGTACAACTGTCACTCGGCCAAGGCATGTATAGCCTCACCCGCGCCGATGCCTACGTACTGCTGACCATCTACATCGACGACCTACTATACATCGGCTCCACCACCACCATCATTTCGTGGTTTGAAGGGGGGCACCAGTCAAATCTCACCCTGAATGTCTTGGCCACGGTCACCCAATACCTCGGCCTCATCATTCGCAACGACCCCGACGCCATTAATCTCTCCATATCTAAGTATGCTAAGAACATCGCCATACGCTTCAGCATCTTACCGATAACCATCTCAATGCCCTCCTGGGATGTCCAGCCGACACAAATGGCGGACACTTCTTTGCTCACACCTGCTGGGATTCGAGAATACCAGCAGAAGCTAGGCTGCCTACTACTCGCAGCCGTAACCTGCGGGCCGGGCTTGTCCTACTCTGCTAGCCAACTTGCTACATTCCTAAACAAATGAAGGAACTAAATCGAGCAATCCTCTACTTTGTCTCTATTCTCATGATCGGCTTCACCTACCATAAGAGAGTTTTCACCAAGACCGAGCTCATCGGCCATGTCGACGACACCCATGCTGGCGACATGGATAACAGGCTCTCACGCACTAGCCATGTCTACCATCTGGATCCTATCGGCACAATCTCCTGGAACTCGGTAAAGCAATAAATACTCAAAGTCTCATATGCACAAGCTGAATGTATTGCCCTCTGCACAACCACAAAAGAAGGAATCTACCTGTGTGACCTGCTGGAAGAAATGAAGTTCGCAAAGTTACCAAGCTTCTCCCTCTTCCACGACAACCAATCTGTGATCCAAGATTGCACACAAAAGTGGCTTGGCGAATCGAACGAAGCACATCTCGATTCGTTACTTCTTCGTAAAAGAAGAGATTGAGCAGGGAAAGCTCCAGCTGGTCTTCTGCCCTACTATTGAACTGGCAGCTAGCTACCTAACCAAGAAGATCACAAAAATGAAGTTCGAATACTGCATGCTGCTGACTGGAATACAACATGTCACCAGCCTCCAACACGTCGACACTCTAGAAATGAAGGGGGGTGTTGGATATGATGAGGAGGAGACTTATAGTCAGCCTTTCAGGAGTATCATGACTCATGCACTATGCGAATAAAGCAAAATCGGCGACAGGTGAGATAATCATACTACAGCACCCCTTGACAGTTGACGCAGTCTGACAACACACAACGGAGGTTGTGGAGGGCAACAATCGCTGACCGTTGAACTTGGAAACCGGCAGTGAGAAGTGCAAGGGCCGAAATATAGGCACGACAGCAAGGACACATAATAGTCCCGGTGTTACAGCACGGGTGGTTAGCCAAGTCGTGCTGATCGAGTCGTAAAGGGAATGTAATCCTATGAAGTGCGTAGTTAATCATACTCTTCATATACTCTTAAAATACCTTCTAAGCCCTTGCATCTCCTTGCTATCATCAGTCACTTGTTCTCACATACCAGTACAACGGTTCAACTTAACTTTCGTTGTGCTGTCAAGCACCCAACCTACGAAGGACTTAGTCTCTGCCAACGATCGTTGGGATGTTCTCCGCCCAAGACAAGTTAACCCCAACAAGAGGCCTCAAAATGAGACTTCCATGGTTAGAAACAACCCTATCCCAACCTAACCATTTGTTACAATCACATAGGCCATACATCGACAAGATTGAATACTATAGGCTTGCGGAAGCGATGTGATTGGCTGGTGATCCTATCAGAGTGAATGTAACATAATAGGTTATTATAATCAAGAAGAAACAGAGTCTAAATAGTGTCACATACAAGTAAGGGGCATCCAAGATCGCACACCCTCTTTCTCACCCATCCGCCCAACTCAACTCTTTCATTGTCGCTCAAACCTCCCCGTTTTTAACACGCCTACTTACCGACGGATACCAGACGGATAGATTCTTTACATCAGGTGCATACGAACAGCTCGCAACGGCTAAGGGGGTTTATTATGTAAAGACAACGACTAACCGCATCTGGGTGCCGGAGTACAATTTATTGTGGAAGCCATTACTACAAGACACGACCGCAGTTAGCACGATATTATTTCTGGCCTGGCATGCAAGGGTACGTGCAACGGCATGTGGTTTCTTGTAGAATATGCCAAACCATTAGGTCATTGAGGCAGAAGCCAGTTAGGAAGTTGCAGCCAAATCCACCGCCCCAGCTTGCGTGGCAGCAGGTGACGATGTATTTTGTCATGGATTGCCTGCCAAGGACACCTACAATAATGCGATATTTGTTGTCGTCAATAAGCTGACTAAGATGGCCTATTTTGCCACCTGCAAGAAAAGCATCTCAGCCGAAGAAATTGCCCGCCTCTTCATCTCAATCGCCGTTCGACTCCACGACATCCCATTCGTAATCATTTCTGATGATGACACAAAGTTCACCAGTAAATTTTGGCGAAATCCGTGCGACCAGTTTGGCACACGCCTACAGTTTTCCTCCGCCTACCACCCCGAAACTATCACGCAAACTAAACGGGCCAATCAGGCGATAGATCAACTTATTCGCGCTACCTGTGATCACGTGGCTCAATAGGAATAGCAATTATCATTGATTGAGGTCGCCTATAACAACGCCCCGTCAGCCACCACCCGGTAGCCCCCATTTTACTTGAACTACGGGCACAACTACAGTATCACCCCAAACGTCGAGAATCCTATGACTCGAGCCCAACAGTTTGCGGAAAATTGTACAAAATGCCCGTGAGCGAGAACAGAAACCATTAAGCATGTGAATGTTATTTCTAAGCGCAACGCGGATTTATACAACCGGATCATAACTTACCAGGCTTGAGACTTAGTACTGCTCGATACCCATAACTTTCGACTACCCATTTTCCAAAACTCCGCTCCCGCTACTGTAGACCCTTTACAATCAGCCACATGATATCCTCCATTACAACCCATTTACTATTCCCAGCTACTTGGAATGTTAGTCCATCTTTTTAGTTGTAGCTGCTGCGACCTTACATCGCCAGCACCGGCAGATTACCAAGTCACCGAGCCAACCCGAACATCCGACCGCTCGCCGAACCAACCATTGAACCTACGATGATCCTCAGCCACCGGATCAAAGACCCTCGAGGTGCTTGCTTGATCGCGTTCCTGGTATTCTGGAAGGACCGGACGTCTCTGGAAAATAATAGGGTGCCCTTGATACTGATCGAGAATTACCCAATGTTACGAGTCTACCTCCAGTTACGGAATGTGCACGACATTAGCGGCCTTAGTTAAGACCATACCTAGGAGGGGGGAGAGTGTAAGGAAATGGTATTTCCTTATCCCAGGCTTTAGTTAGTGAGGTGTATACTGCTATAACGGGGTTGCCGCGCATTCTACAATGAAATTCAAACCGCGGCACCTAAATGTGGTCTCTTTATGAGTCGCATACATATTGCCCATCTTCTAGTTTCATGCCTAGATCTGGGCGCTTCGCGCTAATTTACAAATCACACGTCTCAACTTTGCCGAGCCTCGGCTGTGTGCTCCAGGCCTAGCTATATCCAGACTCCCCATTATTTTTATGTTGCCTCATTGTATTGTTTCCTCGCTACTCAATTATTCGGCACTCGCTGTTTGCGTTTCATTACACTAAGTAACGATGCAATTCACAGGGAAAATTCCCTTGGGTCTCAGATCCGGCTCGAATAACCGTGCACGACTCGGGTAACTGGCAACTGCGCGTCTTGTAGTACCGGGATAGTTATGTGTGCTTGCTGTCGTGCCAGACTCTTGTTCTTCTGACTGTTGAGTTACTGGACCGTTGATCTTCATAAATCGATGCAGTGCAGACGCGTACGGAATTGGAGTTGTAACGTGTTGGAAACGTTACAGTGACAAGTGTTACTTTCCGAAGTGTATAACGTGTTTCCATATCGTAGCACCATTTACCATAGTGCGGTAGAAAAAGGGGAATGTCTAGTGTTTAAAAAATGTGTAATTGGATTTTTATTGTTCATTAATCAAGGCAAGGTAAGAATGTATTGAAATTTCCTACTGAATAGCAAAAGCAAAGTGAATTTTCTTGTAACTGAGGTGTCCATTATTTAACTAGCCTTAAGCATTAATGCTAACTGGTAGCGTCTTGTAGGAGCATAGTGCCATATTGCATTAGGGGGGTTAATGAAGTAGGTTGAACTGCCTGACATCACGGTTTGATGTCGAGTCACCCCTTCTGAACGCACAGAAAACGTCTCAATCGTGCAAAAACGCAATTTACCCGCTGGGCGACTGGTGACATCATTTTTCTTACACGTGATACACACCCTTCGCTGCCTTCGATTGGTTAGCTTACCGGGGAAAGTGCACCTGATGACTGCAAAGTGGATATCATCCTTTCACGGATTGGTTCGCTCCGTTTCCACCAACTGATAAGTGCCGCGTCTGCGTTCCGCCGCCAGCCGCCACAGGTAGCGATCTCTCCCGCCTTCGAGTGTTGGCCGATCTTTGTCACGCTATGGTGTACAGTACGGTATAAACAATTGTGTGCTCATTTTTTGCCCTGACTAGATCAAAGATCTTCCTGCTCCAACCATCAGCACCACTGGCGGTCGGGCTGGGCTCACGTAAAACTTCCTCGCGCATCGCTATGTTCCTTTGAATGCCTGACCGGCCAGCTCGACTAGAGCTGCAACATTTTTCGCCACGTGGCTTCCGGCGCAGCTGGACGGACCATGGTCTGTGCAGCGGCGACTGCTCTCCTCTGCCCTCCTAGGTTGCGCTTCGAGTCTTTCGGGCCTTGTCGGCCGGGGCAGTGAGCAGCACATGAGCACATCACATCCCGAACAATCCACCATTTTCATTCCCCACAAGCAGAGCAAGCCAACCTGCTGCTGCTTCATCTCCTGCTGCTTCCCTTCAGCACAACCACCCTGCTCCTGTATCAGCTTTCCCACTCATCCCCAGTTTCTCGCCTCCCAGCTGAAATTGGACGGGTCATACAGCCACCTACTAGCCTCTCTTGCCTCACTTGATTTTCATCATACTCTAGGACACAAACGCAATCATCACATGTCCTGCTGATTTGTGCATTCCTGTAAACCGTCAAGTAGAAACCAAACCAGACAAATCTTCAGCTTTGAACGATTCATCCAACCGACGTGATCTGCCCTCCCGTTTGCAACCATGGCAAGCCACCACTCCAATGGCGCGCCGGCTGCGTCACTCTACAGCTACAACGCAATCTGCGACGGAAACTTCCCACTTGCCGAAAACCCGGCCGCCATTGCAACCACCACCAGAGCCGGAGAGTTTCGTATTCCGCTATACGCAGCGACGACGCACGGAAACGGGCTTCTGGGGCTCAAACTCGCCACGGACTTGCCGTTGGCGCGAAAGGCGCACGGATTTTCTCGGTTGCGGGAGCACGGGGAGAAACTTGCACAGCAGCAGCAGCAGCAGCAGCGACCGTCGCTGTGCGGAAAGTCCATCGTCGACAGGATTTCGTTGCCCGCGTCGCCCACGCGAGTGGTTGCGACGTCGCGAGTCAAATTCGCAGATGAGGCGTCGCAGTTATCGTCGTCTGGGATGTCGCAGCACCGGGCGACGCCACGGCAGCTGGTGCTAGCCGGCACGGCATCTCACTCCCTCTCCGCTTCTCTCCAAATAGACGAAACGGCGGCGGAAATTGACCTGCTGCCACGCAAACTCCCCGCAACGACGGCGTATCAGCTCGCCAGCGGTAGCGGGACCGGCGGAGAAGGCGCACGCCAGAACCTACACCCCGTGCAGCAACTAGCGGCGCAAGTGACAGCTCAAGTGGCGGAGCTAAAGCATGCGGCGAGCGGCGCAGGGAGCCACGTGCGCGCGGCAGCTGAGAACGCGGCGGCGGCGGTGGCGAGCATCGGCGCGAGTGTGAAGGCGCAGGCGCAGGCGCGGGGGAAGATCAAGCTCCGCCTGAGCCCCGCCGCCAGCCGCCTGCTCAGCGGCGCCATCGCGGGCGGTGTTTCCCGAACAGGTACGCGCGGAGGGACGGGCTGGTGATTGTAGCTAGGGCCAACAGCTCATGAATCAGGCACAATCTAGTCGTCGTTTTTATTTATTTATTTAAAAACTAGGCCCGCCAGATTGATTCAAATTGGAATCGTGACAATCGCGACAATCGTTCGTGTGAGTCGGTCAATTCCCGCGCGCGCTCTGACTTCCCCCCGACCACCCTGTTCCCGGCACGCCGCTCCTCGCCCCCCAGTACGCGATGTGCGTTGCCCCGCCGACTTTGCACACGTGCGGAGACGCGGAGCTCGCCCTGAATCTCCACCCAACCACCTTCCCCTCTCTCCCACTTCCCCCCACTCCGCCCCCCCTCTCTCCCCCTCGCCAGCGGTGGCGCCGCTGGAGACGGTGCGCACGCACATGATGTGCGCGGACGTGGGGAGCGTGGCGGCGAACGGCAGCATGACGCGCGTGTTCCAGTGGGTGGTGGAGAAGGAGGGATGGGCGGGGCTGTTCCGCGGCAACGCCATCAACGTGCTGCGCGTGGCGCCCAGCAAGGCCATCGAGGTGCGCGCAATGGAATAGGTGTGCCGAATGGGTTCTGGGAAATTGCCATGAGCTTAGTGCGGGCAATTCTTGTGTTGAATGGGTAATCGGAGTAGCTGCTGAGTGAGGTGCGGAGCTACTGGGTGCGGGCAATTCTTGTGAGGAAACGAACACACGAAAAGGAGGACGGTCTAGCAGACATTAAGTGCGCACTAGCCGCAACTTGGAGTCTGCGAGTTTCTCGCAAGCTATGGTGCGGGGTGAATGAGCCTCGCTCTGCGATGCTGTGCTGATTCTATTCCACACCATTCCTTCTGATGCCTCACGCCTCCCATCCCAGCTCTATCACCTTCGTCAGAAGCTCTCCCACATCCCGCTCCCAACCGCCCCCTCCTGCCCCCCCTAACCGATCCCGGACCCCTCTCTCTGCAACCCCCCTTCCTGTTTTCCACGCCTCTTCCAATCCGCCCCCGAATTGGTCAAATGCCCTTTTACGTCATCACAATCAACCTGCTAATCATCCCTCCCACGTCCCCCTTACCCCCTCCCACCCCCCTCAGATGTTCACCTACGAGACAGTCAAGCGCGCGCTCACCCCCACGCCAGGCCTCCCCCCGCCTCTGCCCTTCCTGCTGCCGCTGCCCATCTCGTCCATCGCGGGGTCCTCTGCCGGCATAGCGTCCACCGTGCTCATGTACCCGCTTGAGCTCGTCAAGACGCGCCTCACTGTCAACCCGCACCTCTACCGCGGCTTCTTCCACGCCTTTCACCGCATCGCCCGGGAAGAGGGGGTGGGGGCGTTGTACCGCGGCCTAGCTCCGAGTGTGATGGGCGTGATTCCATATTCGGGGGCGAATTTCTTTGCGTATGATGCGCTGTGCACGGCGTACCGGAAGGCGGCGAAGGTGAAGCAGATTGATCCGTTGATGACGCTCGTGATTGGCTCTGCTGCTGGATGCTTCGCTGCTGCTTCAACGTTCCCTCTGGAAGTTGCAAGGAAACAGGTGCGAGGAGTTAGTCTAACACCCCTCTTGTCGTACTACTTCGGACTCCTGTCGCCCCTGCTGGCTGTTTGCTCAGGCATCCTTGTTATCGAACCTCCTGATTCTGCCTCACCCACTTTGCCCTACTCCATGTGTCTCACTCCCTTGCTCGCTTTCCCACCCTTGCAGCTGCAGATGGGGGCCACAGGGGGGAGGATGGCATACAGGAGCATGCTGCACTGCATGCAGTGCATTGTGAGAGAGCACGGAGTAAAGGGGCTGTACAGGGGCATGGTGCCATCGTGTGTGAAGATGATGCCAGCTGCTGGCATCTCCTTCATGTGCTACGAGGTGCTCAAGCGCACCTTGATCGAGGAGGAGAGGGACGCATAGGGGAGCTTTTACATACCGTAATCACCCGGATATAGGCGCATATGGGCTTATACGGATAGGTTTGAAAAGCCACGTGCGCTTGCAGTCGAATAAAAATTGTAAGCGAATGTGCTGAAAAAAAAAACCGAGTATTTATTTGAGTACATCAAAATGTAGCCCTTGAGTTTTACTATCGTTTGGTGATCTCTCTAAAGAGGGTTGCAAGGAGAATCTGCATGGAATCTAGAGAGATGGTTGTTATAATTGTCAGATTGAGAAAGCTTGCTTTCGTTGTAGCAATGGCAACGTGCTTCATTTCAAACGAGCAATTACATCATTCTAGCCCCGTCGACCCCGCCTCCTAGCTGGCCCCGCTGCCCAATCGGCCCCGTCAGCCCTGCCTCGCTGGGCCCGCCGCCCAATCGGCCCCGTCTGTCTGTCAACTTATACATATTATCTATGTAGAAGTTATAGGCTAGACTGAGGTATGCTTCTAGTGAGTACAACCAACTAGTATTTGTTCTAGGTTTCCACCTCTAGTAATCATTCGTTTCTACGTTAACATGGTATCACGCTTAGGTTAGGATCCCCCCGCCTACCGCTTCCGCCCGTCGCGCCTCCTAGGCCCCGTCGCGCCCCCTAGGCCCCGTCGCGCCCCCCCTGGGCCCCGTCGCGCTCGTTAGGCCCCGTCGCGCCCCCCCTGGGCCCCGTCGTGCCCGCTGGGCCCCGTCGCGCCTCCTAGGCCCCGTCGCGCTCCCCCTGGGCCCCGTCGCGCCCACTGGGTCCCGTCGCGACCCCTAGGCCCTAACGCGCCCCCGCTGGGCCCCGTTGCGCCTCCTAGGCACCGTCGCGCCCCCCATGGGCCCCGTCGAGCCCGCTGAGCCCCGTCGTGCCTCCTAGGCATCGTCGCGCCTCCTAAGCCCCGTCGCGTCCCCCCCCTCTGGGCCCCGTCGCGCCCGTTCGGCCCCGTCGCGCCCCTCCTAGGCCCCGTCGCGCCCGCTGGGCCCCTTCGCGCTTCCTAGGCCCCGTCGCGCCTGCTAGGCCCCGTCGCGCCCCCCCTGGGCCCCGTCGCGCCCGTTAGGCCCCGTCGCGGCCACCCTGGGCCCCGTCGTGCCCGCTGGTCCCCGTCGCGCCTCCTCGGCCCCGTCGCGCCCCCCCTGGGCCCCGTCGTGCCCGCTGGGCCCCGTCGCGCCCCTTAGGCCCCGTCGCGCCCGCTGGCCCCTGTCGCGCCTGCTGTTAGCGCTCGCCCGCCTGGCCTCCTCCTAGTGCCGCTCGGCCTCCTCCTAGTGCCGCCCGGCCTCCTCCTAGTGCCGCCCGGCCTCCTCCTAGTGCCGCCCGGCCCCTTCCTAGCGCCGCCCGGCCTCTCCTCAGCGCTGCCCGGCCCCTCCTCGTGCCCGACCGGCCCCAGCAGCACCAGCCTGGCCCCTCCCAGCACCAGCCCGGCCCTAGAGCACCTGCCCGCCTCCCCTGCTCGGCCTGCCGTGTCCTCTCGGGCCCTGTGTCTTCTGCTTGCCTGCGCTGGGACGCCTAGCTGCTGCCCTACTGGAGAGTGCTGCCGCCGTGTCCCCGCGCCGCTGTGCTCCTGTGCCGCTGAGGAGCTGTGCTGCTGTGCCGCTGTGTCGCTGAGGAGCTGTGCCGCTGACCCTGCACGATGGCTGACTTTGTGCTCCGCCTGGACGCTGAGGGCCACGCGGTTGACTTCGCCGCCTGGCTCTCCGATCTTCGCCGCCAGCTTACAGGTCAGCGCCAGGATGGCCACTCTCTGGTTGTCCATGCTGATGGCTTGCTCCCCCGTCCCCCTGCACCTTCTCCCCTCCCTGCTGACCCCTCCTCTGATGACCGTGAGGCTTTCTCTACTGCTGCGCTAGCCTGTGCGGTCTGGGACTCACGCGATGCAGTAGCTCAGGTTGCTATTAGTCACGCCCTCCCTGTGTCTGAGCGCTCGCGTTTTGCTACTGTTGAAACGGCCAAAGCTTATTTAGACGCCGTTATTGCTCGCTATTCCACCCCTGCCTCCGCTTCTGCTGGCCGCTTGCTCTTTCCGATGCTGTTCCCAGACCTGGCTGCCTTCCCTACTGTCGCAGATTTTGCCACTCATTTGCGTGCCCTAGAGACTCGCTATCGCACTGCCAGCACTGCTGCCCAGCTCACTGCGCTCCCCCCTCCTTTCTGCATGACGCTCTATTTTATCGCTATGCGCCTGCCAGACCGCCTCGCTAGTGCTCGCGACCACTTTCTTAGCCAGCACCCGGGTGACCTCACCCTGACCGCCTTTGTCGACACCCTCACTGAGATCGAGACTCGCCAGCGCACTATCGCTCAGTCGAGCGGTGCGCCGGCAGTCTCTATCTTTCACGGTTGTGCCCCATCCCCGTGCACGTTCACTGACGTTTCGGCTGCGGTCGCCACGGCGACCCCTCTTACCGAGACGGCTGCTGCTGTCCACCCGCAGCAGCGCTCGCGTCGCGGTGGCCGTGGCCGCCAGGGAGGTAGGGGTGGTGACGCAGGTGGTAGTGGTCGTGGTGGTGGTGACGGTAGTCCGTTTGAGGGGACTACCACCGGTGGGCAGGAGCAGCAGTCCCAGCAGCAGCAGGACCAGCCCCAGCCGCAGCCGCCGTCCCAGCAGCACCCGCCGCAGCCGTGGGCTCGTCTCCCGCCTGGTTGGCCCGGCACCTCCGGAGGCGGTGGCCGTGGTGGCGGCCCGCGCAGCTTGGCGTCTACCAGCGGCTCCAGTGCTGTGACCTGCCAGTACCAGCTTCAGACCGGGCCTCTCCGCGGCACTCTGTGCCGCCGCCCGCACCCGACCGCCCACTGTTTCCGCCGCCTCGACGATCTTTTTCGTCGTCGCTTTGGCCCGGCCCCGGACCTCCCTGACTGGCACAGCCTGCTCCGCCAGGGCGTGCCGATCTTTGAGTTAGACATGGATCAGATAGGTGCTGCTTTGCATGCTTTGTATGCTGACGCTTCTAGTGTTGATGGATCTTACTACCATGTGTACTCTAGTTTAGGTGTTTCACCCTTGTGTAGCTTAGCTTCCCCTGCTGCGACAGGCGTAGGACTGCCTAGGTTGCCTAGTCTAGTCGCTGCACCGGCTCCGTCCGCGGCCTCCGCCACTGCGTCGCTGTCCTTCACTCTCGACTCTGGTGCTTCTGCCTGCTTCTTCCGCGACCGTTCCACGCTCACGCCGCTTGCTGCACCTGCTGTTGTCTCTCTCGCTGACCCCTCTGCGGGTCCGGTCGTCGCGCGCAGTTCTACGTCCCTTCCCTGTCCGGCAGTTCCCTCGGGCTCCCTTACTGGCCTCCACGTTCCCTCGTTCTCCAGGAACCTGGTTGGTGTCGGCTGTCTCCAGGACCTCGGCGTCACCACCACGTTCCCCGGGCACGAGCGGTTCGCTGTCTGTTCTGAGGCTGTCTCAGGTTCCCCCCTTGCGACGTTCCCCCGGGACCCGGTGTCCGGTCTGTTTACCCTACACACCGCTTCCCCCCCGGTTGGTGCGTCCTCCCAGGTCGCTGCAGCTTGCTCGTGTCGGTCCCTCACTCACCCCTCCCTTCTCTGGCACCACCGCTTAGGTCACCCTGCTCTCCCGCGTCTGCGCCACATGTCCCAGCACGGTCTTGTCTTAGGTCTCCCCGCGTCGCTCCCTGCCCTTCCTCCCTCGACTGCGCCACCGTGCACGCCTTGCGTCGAGGGTCGGCTCCGCCGTGCTCCTCACTCCTCCTCGCTGCGTCCTGCTACTGCCCCCCTTCAGACCCTGCACTTGGACGTTTGGGGCCCTGCCCCCGTCCCCGGACCGCGCGGTGAGCGCTACTTCCTTGTGCTCGTTGACGACTACACGCGCTACACCACGGTGTTTCCCCTGGAGCGGAAGGCCGACGTGCCCGACGTTCTTCTTCCGTGGGTTGTAGCTGCGCGTCTCCACCGCGGTCTCCCCGTGTTGTGTCTCCACTCCGACCGTGGCGGCGAGTTTGCCTCTGGTCGGCTTGGACAGTTCTGTCGTGCGGAGGGCATCACCCAGTCGTACACGTTGCCGGACTCGCCACAGCAGAATGGGGTTGCTGAGCGCCGCATCGGTTTGGTCATGGAGGTCGCCCGTACCTCCATGATCCATGCCGATGCCCCCCATTTTCTGTGGCCGTTCGCTGTTCGCTACGCGGCTCACCAGCTTAACCTGTGGCCACGCTCCCAGCGGCCGCAGGTTTCGCCGACCCTCCTTTGGACCGGGTCCCCCGGTGACGCGTCTGCGTTCCACGTCTGGGGCTGCCTTGCTCACGTTCGTGCCTCTGGCACGGACAAGCTCACTGCCCGCACTGTCCCCTGTGTCTTCCTCGGTTTCCCCCTGGACTCGTCTGACTGGCTTTTCTACCACCCGCCGTCTCACCGCTTCCTCCACTCTCGTGACGTCACCTTTGACGAGTCCGTCTCCTTCTACCGCCGCTTCCCTCACCGAGGTCTCCCAGTTGCCCCCCCCCTTTTCCTTGCTCCCTCTCCCCCGGTAGCCCCTGCCCCTCTCCCGCCTCGTCCTGCCCCGTCTGGTGTCTCCCACGTCACTCCCCTCCCGTCGGTTGTCCCCGTTGAGGAGTCTGCTGACTCTGGTGGTACCCCCGGTCCGTCCTTGCCGCGTCCCCCTTCCCCAGTGCCTCCGCCCCCACTGTCGCAGTCGCCGACCCCGCTGCCGCCGCCGTCGCCGTCGCCGCCGCAGCCGTCGCCGCTGTCGCCGCCACTGCCGCCGCTGCTCTCGGCCCCTGGGGGTGCTGGTGTGGAGGAGGGTGTTCGTCCTGCGGCTTCTGGGGGTGCCGCTGGTGTTGGAGGGGGTTCTCGCTCTTGGGGTGTTGGTTCTGGGGGTGCTGCTGTTGAGTGTTCTGCCGACGGTCGTTCTGCCTCTGCTGGTCCGAGAGTTCCGGCCCAGCCGTCGTCGCCGCCACAGCAGCCGTCGCCGCCGGTTTCCGCTCTCCGCCTGCTCGGCCTTCCCTCCCCGGACCGCGCGCCGGTGTCTCCCCCACCGCCTCCTGACCTCCCTGTCTACGGTCCTGTGTTCCCGCCGCCAGACTCGTCTCCGGCCCGTCTTCCTCCTCGTTCCCCTCCTGTGTCTCCTCCGCTGTCCCCTGACCCTACCCCTCCGTCTCACGTTTGGGCTCGCCGTCCCTCCCGTGCTCGTCCCGTCTCTCCTGTCCTGCCCACCCACCCTATGTTGCTCCGT